CACATGTGAGTGAGTGTAAAACATCAGTAAATTTTTTCTCTACATATGGTTTTTCCCTAACAAAATATATGAACAGGTAAAATTTTGAATGTGTAATCCCCGGTAATAGCAATTTTGATTGGCAATAATTAGGTATCCATTCCATCCTTATATTTCGATGACAGAAATATTATACGTACACAAAGATGTAATGATCTCCTACTTCAAATTGGTATACAGTGGTGACCCAATTTCTCTATTTCTACTAAATATTAGAAAGATAATTTGTATTGTCAATTTACGATTTAAAAAAAAAAAAAATTATGGTAGAATCGTATTGGAATCAAGAGTTTGAATTTGAGTTGATTATTGTAATTATGCGGATTTGAATAGTTCTAATTACAAAGTACTTGAAATGTAATTTGATGATTTTGGAAATGAAAATGATCTCGCTATTGTGGCCGTTGAAGGTCGACGATCACTTTAACTTACCAATATTCCTGGATCCGCCACTGAATAAAAAACAAAATCTTTTGTCGCTCGCTCATGACTAAACACGTTCCATTCCTATTGGGAGAACATAAGGATTGGCTTTGATTATTTTCAATAGGTGGCGAAGGAAGAAGGGAACCTAATAAATAGCGAGGAGCAGTCACATTAATCCACCATCGATTTTAAAATACTTTTAATTTTGAGGATTTTAAATAGTAATCAATGCATTTATGGCTTATGACTTTTAGCTTAACCAAACAGGGACATAAAACATTAGAATAAAATGAGATACATATTAAAATGATCTATTAGAATGTGTTTGAGCCACGTTATCTTAAAAGAATGTATTTGGTTGAAAAATAAGGAAAAATTATTGATTTGTTGGAAAATATTATTTTATTGAAGAATGTGTGGTTGAAAACGAGTACAAAAATGAGAATGAAAAAAATAATGTGACTCAAACAGGGATTAATTTTAATGACATTAAATTAGTCTTTTGATGTCATTAAAGTCCTGCTTGATTTAAATAAAAGTAAGTTTTTAATAAATCTTAATAAAAGTTGATGAAATATATG